AAGATAGTTTACCGAAGTCACATTCAGTCGTGTGTATATAACAATAGTGGTAATATCAATACCGGTTAGGAGAGTAGAACAGGTGCGTTGACCAAGTTATATTATCTTGCTGAACATGAATCGACCATTATACCATTTCGAACTCGTGTCTTACAACAAAATACTTTGTCAGGAACAGGAAGGAAATTAAGAAAACTGATAGTCAACTCGAACGGGTGTATATATTCTATGATATTTTAAAGAGAGGCAAAAGATACCAAAGGGATAATCATACATCAAATAAGTCGAAAAAGAACTGACAATGCCACGCTAAAAACGAAAAACGACCAAAAGTCAAACAACAGTATACAAAACACAACATAGAAAACTAAAGACTTAGCAACAAAAACAGGGGGTGATCTCAGATGCTTTGTAATTTTAATTTCTCATATAAACAGACACACACTAGAGTAAAAAATGTCCAAACAAATTATAGATTGACAACACTTGACATGTTGGAATAATGTCAGAAAAATCTTATCTCAATTCAGATGTGAAATAGACACATAACGGTAAATTTATTGGAGTTGGCGACCGTTAAACTTATAGAATTATATTTGCAATGTAATTCATCAACATGTTGAAAGAGTAGTTTTGTCGAAGAAAAGAATACTTTTCATAATTACAACATATTATGGCATATCTTATCAGCTGAAACACGTCAACATGCTTGGGTAGTTGTGACGTCAGTACTCGACCCTATTTCTCCTGTTGAATATGTCATTTAAAGCTACTCCCTGTAATGAGGATAGATATTAAAAGGGCATTTACAAAAAAAGATGAAAATTTCTTGAAGACTTAGACATCGCAACGACCAACCATGTTGTTATCTAAATGGAGCATTGTCAATACTATTTAAAGTAATCAAACACAATTAATGATATCAATATTAATATCTAATCTGTTTACATAGTGTTATGTTACTTACAATACATTTGACGACATAGCAGGTATATTTCTTCTACTTCTTTATGATGTTCTTGTTCTTCTAATTTGGATTTTATTCGATATCGATTTTGAGAGATCCAAAAACAGTGAAACAGGTGGATAAATTGTATCGCAATCATCTTCATAACGATTGGGAACTTTTCCTGTAGTTGAACTTTGTTTTCAGTCCTTTTTGGTTATTCCGGGGAACGTGCTATTCGGTTGCAAGTAGCGTGTAGATCATGCGATCGAAGTTTACTACTAAATCAATGATAAGAAGCTTAAAATTAGGTACGCTAGACGCGCTTTTTTGTCTACATTAGAAACATCATTGATGCTCGAATCAAAATAGTTGTAATCAGTAATCTAAGGAAAGAGCATTGAAAACCTAATATTTCAAATGCTTGTTTCAAATCTGGCTTAGTTCCGTTCATATCGGTGGCGATCACTGTCATAACCAGTTACAGGGCTTGTATTTCCTATCATGATGTCCTTGAAAGAGAGTTGCTGCTCACAGGGAAGGTAATAAAATTAAGAGTTCCAAGTGGTGAAGTTGAAGTGATCACTTCGTAAATTTTACGGACGCCATCACGAGTTGGTTGACCGTTATGAAATATTCGTTTCACAAATGATAGCGGATATGTTCCAATTGTCGTTACTTCAATCCAATCCCCTCTTCCTGAATGTGTCCTACCGAATCAGACTTATTACCGGGTGTGTACTAACATGAGCAACACGACGGGTGCCACATGTGGAGCAGGATCTGCTTACCTTTCGGAGAACCTGAGATCACCCCCAGTTTTTGGTGGGGTTCGTGTTGCTCAGTCTTTAGTTTTCTATGTTGTGCATTGTGTACTGTTGTTTGTTCGTTTGTCTGTTGGTCTGTTGGTCTTTTTCTTTTTAGCCATGGCGTTGTCAGTTTATTTTTTACTTATGAGTTTGAATATCCCTTTGGTATCTTTTGCCTCTCTTCTACAGTTCCGAAAAAGTATTGTCAAATCCCAGTAAAACGTCTTTGCATGTAGATTTACAACCTTAGATTTTGGCTTATTACTTCATTTTCAACACCATATTTCTTTTTGTAATATATCTACTACGAGTAGTATGAGGGCCTATAATAATTTGTCCAAATACTGATCACTTGAAAGATTTTTAACGAAACTGGCCTATATATATATGAACATGTTACATATTGTTCTTATGTTGTTTTGTTACACCACTTTCCCGGTAAGGGTGAGGATTAAGCGCTCCCAAATATGTGTAAATTCGCCACATTCTGTAAGTGCCTGTTCAAAGTCAAGAGCCTGTAAATCAATTGTAGTCGTTTGTTTCTGTCAATAATACTTACATATTTGTTTTTCGGTTATTGGTTTGTACATAAATCCGACCGTTGGGTTTTTCGTTTGATTTCCTTACATTTTTCATTTCAGTGTCTTTCATAGCTTACTATGCGGTTTAATTTTTTCTCATTCTTGAAGGCCGTACGGTGACCTACAATTGCTTTAACCTACGTCGTTTTATCATTGGTGGAAAGTTTTCTCATCGGCAATTATACCACATATTCTTATTGTCATATTGTAATTTTTAATATTTTTTTTCAAATGTTTAGTTTCATCGATATATCCTGTCTATTTTGGTTAAATTGTACTATTAAGTTGTTTTCTCCTCCGTGTTAACCTTCAATTTTTTGAAGAAGAAAAATCGTGTATGTACCGCTTCTACGTCAAACAAACAACAGTTGATTATGTTTAATCCTTAATTCTTGAATAAATTTATTTAATATCGATGCATTATTTTGCGTCAATAAACATTCTTATAGGCAAAACGTGTACTTTTGCATGTTTTCTATATCATTTTTAATCCAATAAATAAAACCATGATTTTAATCTGAACGTATAATAGTAATTACTTTCCCAAATTACATTAAGATTCCTTTTTAAATGTGTGCATCTTTTGAAGTTATTTAAAGGACCACTGAACAAAACATAATCTTGCAATTTATATCGTGTACACACGAAAGTAAGCCGATTCTTCTTTAAGACTTTATATCTGCGTGCAAATAAGTAAATGCATGACAATAACATATTAAGTATGAAATTAAGTGTTAAAATCGACATTTTGTTATAAGTCTTCAAAACAAATATTATACTTTTTTGTTCAAACATATTGTTTTTCTTATATTGTTAAACATTTCACAGCGGTATAACATGTTACTTTAATTATTCTTCCCTTAGTTTATTTATTTTGTATTAACATTGTATCATAGATCAAATTTATTTGTTCATTGTATGTTCACAGGTGTTAATATTTCTTTTGATTGAGTTAAGCCATTTCAATTGGTATTTTATAGTGTGTCTTTCTGTGTTGTGATGTTACACTATTGTTTCAGATAAGGGTGAAGGTTTGGTACCATCAAAACGTTTAAACCCGCTGCAATTGTTTGCACCTGTCCTAAGTCAGGAATCTGATGTTCAGTAGTTGTCGTTTGTTACTGTGGTTCATAAGTGTTTCTCGTTTCTCGTTTTTTATATTGATTAGACCGTTGGTTTTCCCGTTTGAATGGTTTTACACTATTAATTTTTGAGGCCCTTTATAGCTTGCTGTTCGGTGTGAGCCAAGGCTCCGTGTTGAAGACCGTACTTTGACCTATAATGATTTCCTTTTTAAATTTTGACTTGGATGGAGAGTTGTCTCATTGGCACTCATACCACATCTTCTTATATCTATTATACTTTGTACTGATATTTGTATTACTTATCTCGGCATCATCACCAGACCGATAACTGAGATGTATTGTTAAGACATGAATATTAACATAAACGTTACAAAAAGAATTCAATATTTGATTCCGTTAAAACTGCTTCATATAGAATTTCAAGATTTTAAATATGTAATAATACTTTTCATTAAGACCAACGTTAAACAAATACATGTCAGTGTTTAAATTGTTTGTGTGCCATTAGCATTCGCATAAAACGCTGAAACAAATTGATTTCATCTTTCAAGTTAAAAATAAAAAGTAAGAAAAGCACTTCGGACGGACGAAAGTTAAAAAGTGTTATTTTCATTTAACTTTTTTGTTAACTACAGTATAAGACTTGCTATGTAATTCGGGACTGGTTCGGTCAATATACATGGTTAAAATGAACAATCCGTTCATAAACTCTGATTATTGGTACAAACTATGTACATGTTTTGGAAATCGACCGAGCGGTCTTTAAACTTCCATTTGGCCCTTTGTGTCATGAATAGTAAGGTATTCCTTTTGGTTTTTGTCTGTTTATACCTTTTTTTCTTTGTGTTTTATCTCGTTTGTTTTTCAATGGTTGTCTTCCTTATTACACAAAGATTATAGAAAAGTAGCCCGTACTTTTCGCCTGTCTATTTCCCAGTACTTTTGTGATTATAAACAGTTATTATCTTTTTATTTGTTTTATGTTATGATATCATCGATGTTGGTAATCTATGTCTAATGTTTAACGTTAAGAAATGGAAATTTGCATGTACATAACTATATCACATTTTCAACAAGAATTTATCTTCTGCGTTTTGTGATGTGTTAAGAACTACTAATTGGTTATTGTGTGCTGTTTAATCACAGAATATCAAAAAATATTATTTTACAGGAGTAACACGACGGCCGCACTAGTGGAGTAGAAAATGCTGACTCTTAGGGCATATAAGTTAGCTTTTTAATGTTTTTGGACTGTTAATTGTGTTTTTGTCGTTTTACTTTTGACAATGGTGTTGTCCATATTTCTTCGGCTTGTGGTTTTTATTGCTGACCTGCTATTTAAGCAAGGCACATTTCATCAGTTATAACTTGAAGGATGTACTGTGAAAAGCGATTTTTATTGTACTTCTCTTATCAAATTTCGAATTTAAGATAATCTATATTTTCTTCGGAAGTTAACGGAAAAGGTACTTCACAAGAACTTCCTTGTTAATTATCAACATTTTGAATATACAGGGTAGTGAAACACAAATGAGATAAGAAGCGATGAAAACGACTTTGTAGAAATATTTGTACTTACAATATCCTGTAATAATTGGTACAGTACTGACAATAATCAGGGTAAACACCAGTCTATCTACGTAACTGTTAATAAGCATGTAAACAAACAATCCACCCTGCAAGTGTAAGCAAACATAGAAAGAGATAACACTTGTCTGAACTTCTTATTTATGGCACTTTCCCCAATTCTCAGTTTAATCAAAATATTTTTCTCATGATTTAAATCATGATTCCTTCATAACTATTTCTTTATTTTGACGTCAAGTAAAGAATTCCATGACTTTCTTTGATTTAGTGTTTACAAAGAGATCCCAAACAATATTTGCAAATGGGCAAGAACAACTATAACGTTATAAAACGTATTGTTCATGCTCAACATTTCAGTGTTATTTGTTGATAACATATTCTCATTATTGTTTATTAAGGATGGTATTTACGAATTTCAAGATTTTTTTCTTTACGGCCTAATTTATAACAAAACAATTTACGAAAAGCAAAAATGACAGATATGAACCAACGACAACCACTGAAATATAGGCTCCCTACTTGGGACAGGCGCATAAAAAACGTCGAGGGGTTAAACTTGTTTGTGAGCGCTCAACCTTCTCCCAACCTGGGACAGTAATGTAACTGCACAACATAAGAACAAACTATACAAATTAGCTGAAAAAGGCTTAACTCGCTTGATCGATACAAAGATATACCCAATTTTATTTCTATACCATCATTGCAGGTGTGGAAGCTAAATAACCAGGTTTTAGAATTTCGCAATAAAAAAAAACAAATGATATGTTTTTTTTTGTGGCATAATAAGAGGAAACAGCAGTTTACTGATGCAAAAACTCTGAAATCTATTTGGAATATACACAGAAAGACTTGAATAAATCGTTTGAGCTCTAAATGCAATGCGAACGGTATCGCCAAAGCGTCTACGAAAACACATTCGGCAGATACGCATGTAATCGAAAGTCGCGAAAACAAAAGAATATTAAAAGCTAATGACCACAAAAACCAAAAATGACGATGATATAAAAATAAGATGTGGTATGATTGCCAATGAGACAACTCTCCAACAGAGACAAAATAACACAGAAATTAACAACTATAGGTCACCGTACGGCCTTTAACAATGAGCAAAACCCATACCGTATAGTCAGATATAAAAGGCCCCGAAATGACAAATGTAAAACAATTCTAACGAGAAAAGTATCGGCCTAATTTATTTACCACAAAATGAACGAAAAACAGATATGATTCATAGCAACAAACGACAACCACTGAATTACATGCTCCTGACTTGTGACAGGCACATACATAATGTGGCGGGGTTAAAATAGTTTGATGGCGCCAACCCGCCCCCCCCCCCCCCCCCCCCTCTAACCTGGGACAGTGGTGTACCAGTACAACATAAGAACAAACTATAAAAATCAGTTGGAAAACGATTTACTCATCAGATGGGTACAAAAAGAAATACATCTAACAAAAACACAGAGTGGACGTGGCAGGGTTCTTATACAACCCCACAACAAAAAGACACTAAGTACAAATCTGAGAGTACTCGCAATTACTGACAACTAGTTCAAAGCCAATAACAATTAATAAAAAAAATCATACATCTAAGACTAAAATAATAGTTTGGTATTTTAAAGGCTCCGTCTAAACATGTACAATTATGGGGTCAACCTTGCATGATGGAGTCGCAACACTAGATAAAGCACTCTTACATATTAATTTCATGAACACGAAATTAACAGGCAACGTGTATCACTCAAATTGTGCTAATACAGAAGCACTGGTTATTTTGATACCCACGTATTTATAGTACAAAAACATTTGTACCGACCAAGTGGTAGTACTGTGGATTCATTTATTTTTTTAGGGGTACCAATTTTCGTGGATTGAGGAAAACTTGTATTTTGGTAGATATTTGATTTCGTGTTTTTCCAAAAGTCTGCATATAATCATACAGCAAATTTGTAATTCGTTGAACATTTAAATTCGTGGTTTCTCTGTACACACGAAATCCACGAAAATTGGTATTCAACGAATAATAATGAATACAGTAAATAAAGAGTCTGTTTTCGGGGTGATAGGAGGTGTTAACCTCTACGTCTTGCCTAATGGTAGATTGCAGATGACAGTTCAAAGTCTCCAACAACTTACTTGCATTGTAAATGGAATACTAAGCAGTACCGATGAGAGACACGCAATGCCAATAAGGTACTCGCGTCTTCTGATCCTCTTCATAATCATCTTGGGTATAGATGGTAGCAATGACTCCCAGATTACACACAAATGAATCACCTATAAAGATCCATTTATCATTGCATTTTATAACAGTAATGATTTATAATTTGCGTTACATTCTGAGTCCATATTGCTTATAGTAAAAGATCATTAACCCTTTAATATTTCATGACCAAAGAAAGTTTTTTTTAACATTATATGATATCTTTATTACTGTTGCTGTGGCAAAGAAAGATCTACATATGTTAGAATTTAATGCATACGTCATAATGATAGCACCCTCTTAAATGGAGGGAAACGAAAAATGTTTGATGTCAAAATATTGCCTTTAATCATGAAACACAAATGTTTATATTCCTCAATCCTTTCAAAATTATGTGTATGAAAAGGATGATAATATCAGGACAATTGAGTAATAATGATGAGAATAATAATAATGATAGCAAACTAATAATCTTTATTTAAACTGGGTAACCCGATTATGTGTGTTTTAGAATTGTTTGTCTTTTCGTCGTTTTTGTTTTGTTTGCTATGGTTTTGTCAGTTTTTCACCGGCTTATGATTTTGATTGTCACTTTGGTATCTTCTGCCTGTTTTTAAGTGTAGACAGATAAATGAACTTTTGAACATGAGAGGGATGCTGTTTGATAAAGGCAAAATGGTAACTTTCTCCTGTAACAGAGGCTCACTTACAGAACAATTGTATATCACTACAAACAACATTTTTAGGGGTTTCTGACATGACATGGGCAGATCATTGGGTTTATCGAGGACGCAGTCTGTTACTAGACGTTTGTATAAAGTTACAAAGGAAAGATAGTACGTTGATCGAGTAGGCTACTAGTCCGTTGAGAGTTATTTGTAAAATAAAATTAAACCGAATGACGCCCTTGTTATATTATCATAGTTCAAAAGTTATACAAAACAACTGTAGAGTCGTATCAAATTCTTAATTGATATATTACCTGGTGGATCATCCCAAACAAAAAACAAAACATAAACAAACATAATGCTATAACTGGATGATGTCGAACAGTAGAAAATACTCCAAGAAACAGGTATGATAACCCTTTAAAACAAAATATGCATTATGTTATGGTAACTCTTTGTTATTACTTGTATAAGTGTTATCAAAGATGCTTTTGATAATTATTATTTTGTGTTATATGTTTTATATATTTTTACAATTTAATGCGATACCTTTTGTTGGGATGACATGAAATCGAAGAAAAACCAGTCGATCTATATGTACATAATATAGTTTAAATGTATACGCTGTCTTCTTAAAACTGAAGCATGATTTGAGCTTTTCTCAGTATAGTTACAATTTCTATTTTTCAAGTGATGAAGTAACGGTCAATATATATGGATATGTTATACATATATATATATAATAAAGAGTTGTCTGTAATTGATGTAAATGATTGAATCACGTCCACTAATATTTGACCCTGCATACAATAAAATAATTGTCACGCAGCTGTTTTTATCATATGTTAACCACATGTCATTCCATTGGGTCTATAAATGTACTTTTGCGGTTTTGTAAATCATTGAGAATATTTCTATCGCTTGTTGTTTATAATGTAAAAACAAACCAAACACATCCTCCTCTCAATAAAACATCCTTGTGTAGAAAAATATTAATTAATTGTAAACCCTGCAATAAAGTTTTATTGTATGATTCGATTGGGACAAGTGCAGTACGAATCGGACTTTTTGGTCTGGTTGTTGTCTCTTTTTCGTTTTCCCGTTTCCATTCTCTATTCTATTACTTGCAATGATAAAGTTATTTGAGAGACTTTTCCAATTCCATTACGTGTAAGAAACTTTACCAAGCTTTCAGCAAGAAAATAAGTTCCACATTCACGATTATTGAGCATTTCTGATGAAGATATATACGGAAAATTGCATCGGAAGCACTAAAGGTATAAAGTGTTATTCATATATCATTTTCTAGCACTTTGTCGATACTTCTGCCTGTTGACTGCTAGTCCCCGAGGGTATCATCACCTCAACAGTCAGTTCTTCCGCATTTACAGGTTCCAACTACCTCAGGCAAGTTGACCTTAGATAAGTTTTAATGTTCTTTTTGTTTCCTTTTTGGTTATATAACTCCTAACTTACTGATAATTCGTACATCCATGGCTTTCAGTTTTTATTTTTAAATTTGAGGCTTCCTGATTAAATTCAATCCAGCGCTATTGACGCCAAAAAGCTCAGCTGATCATATAAAACATCTATGAGGTTACTTTTCCACCTTCATATACTGTGGATTCATTTATTTTCGTGGGTACCAATTTTCGTGGATTGATGGAAATTTGTATTTTCGCAAATATTCGATTTTTGTGGTTTTGCCAAAGTCTGCATACCAGCCTATAATAAATCTATACTTCGTCAAGCATTTAAATTCGTGGTTCACGTTTACCCACGAAATCAACGGAAATTTGTATCCCATGAATAATAATGAATCCACAGTATTAGAGACTGTTACAAGCTTTATATTGACCCGAGTGTAAAATAACGCCATCAAATTAGTATCAATTTTGAATACCTACCTGGTTTGATACCTCTCTGTAAAGCTATGAATCCTTCATCCCAACTCATATCGTAATATGGTTCCAGTGCAAGATATGTTACTACGGGGAATATACTGTATGCAATAACTAGTAAAGCAACGGCCCTAGAAAATATATTAAAAAACTCTTCTATTTCAACATAATACTCGACAGTATATAAAATATTTCTAGAAAGGCATACGTTTTTAGTGATAAAATAAAGTTTCGATATAAGCAAAAACATATGCTGACAATGAAAGGAAAGAAGGAAATGTCCCAATTGAAACACCACCTTCGGTAAAACATTACCATCTCCTTCTACAATTAAATATAGGCGACAGTAGCTTACCGATGTTCAGTTAGTAAATCGATTAAAAAGAGTCAAATCAAGGTAACAAACAAAACTTGAGGGAATTGCATGAATCCAAAAGGAGTGAGACCGGTTGCGTCCACAGGGTATGCGTCTTCTGCTATCCATGCATTAACCCCTATGAAAATCAAATCTGACAAAATATCACAATCAAGTATACTAGGACACAATCTGTTAAATTACAGATCAGCGGCTCTTTTCACAAAAAATCGTACGATTAAAATTGATCGTAAGTTATACTGAATTGTGTATGACTTAAGAGTATTTTTACTCTTAAGATATTTTTTGAAAAGAGCCGCTGGCGACTTTACTGGTATCTAAGGCTAAATCTTTTTATCATGATAACACGTTGGTTATCGTCCCAGATATAAAATATTAAAACATAGAATGTCAGTTTGACGTTTATTACCCACCTACCCATACAAAATGGTTGTTTTAAAGTCAGTTAATCAAAATATGTTATAATCTTGAATAGTCTGATCACTGTATGACAAGAGTTTAATGAAATATTTAAAAGTTAATGTCCACTACATAAATGTCAGTCCTAGTTACGATAGTTACATAATTATCTTTTAATAATATTATATCACACTGTATCATTGTAATGAAACTTTGATCAAATTACATCGCCTTATTTTCTATCTGTTTAGAATATGAATAAGGCTTTGCACTATACAATAGGCTTTGTAATTTTAATACCAATAGAAGATTCGTACAACGTAACAGGATAGATATACGACTGATTCGGTGCTTTTTGTCCAACATTTGCTCCTAAAGTTTGTTTTATGTTATAGTAGAAGAGGGTCAATATTCCAGTAGTCTCTGAAGGGAAGACCAAAAACAACGAGACCAGTGATCATATAGTCCTTTACGATATGACATGCTACAACAAGGCCAGTTTTCCAGTAGTTCTGTTCTAAAAGGGACTGCGTTAAGCAAAGTCAGGTTTCAGTATATTGTAAATTAGAGGACAAGGTAGAATGAGGCCAGTTTTATCTCTTGAAATGAAGATCAAGAACAACAAGACCAGTGATCTAGTAGTTTTTTAAGAGAAGACAAGTTAAAACGAGGCCAATTTACCAGTAGCTCTGTTCTAGATACGGACTGACTTCAATGAAGCCAGATTTCAAATAGTGCGTACAAGAGATGACAAGGTACAATGTGGCCAGTTTTTCAGTAACTCTGTTCTAGAGGGGACCCAGTTAAACAAAATCATAGTACCAGTAATGTGTACAAGAAAGGACATAGTACACTGAGGCAAATTCTTCAGTAGTCTCTTGAATGGAAGACCAAGTACAACGGTCCCAGTGATCTGGTAATGTAGTTAAGAGATTGCAAGTTACATACGAGGCCAGTTTTCCAGTTGTGTGCAATAGAAGGCAAGGTACAATGAGGCCAGATTTTCAGCAGCTCTGTTCTAGAGAGGACTCAATTTCAACGAATCTAGATTTCTAGTAGCCTCTTCAAGGGGATCGTGTACAATGGACCATATGTCCACTATTGTCTTTTAGAACCCAGTATAACCTGGCCAATTTTTTTAAAATTTTTCTTAAAAGGATGTTAGTTTATATTAGACAATAGCCAATAAAATGAACGAAACAGCAATGCCTATTCATTATTCACTATAACCATAGAGCAAGAAAACACAGTAGGGCGATTATATCACAGCAAAGGAATTGACAACATAGATATAAAAAAAATTGTTATTAAAGACAAATATTGAATGTTCTATCGCAAATATAACTAGGCAGTCAATGGTGACATCCATATTATACTGAATTCAAATGGTTACCTTTGATGTATTTTCATATAAAACAAGGTCAGGGCAATGTCACATTTACATTCATGCACAGTCGCTACAAAAAAAGTATAAAAATCAAACATTGAAAATTGCACTGTGCAATCGAGGCAAAAATGAAATGAGATTTTGTACACGAAAGTACACTACTAATCCTCATAGTAAAACTTATTAATCAATCATGGAAAGTTCTAAAAACATAACAGGGCAGCTGGAACATGACTGAATATTTGTCTAATAAAATATGTCTTAAATTACAAGGAATCCATCTACCAAAACGTGTTAGCCTCTCATTTAGTTACGTAAAAAACATCAACCATGTCATTATCGAGTAAATCCCTCCTTACGTGAACTTTTCCTGAATTAGTTGAAAAGTAAGATTTTATTTTCACAATTTCATATCTTTATGAACTAGAAAAGTGGATAATAACTGGATACCAGGGTTTTATGTTTGACTATTTTAATATTTCCGATCGACCTAAGTGTGAGATGGATAGTAAGAATTTCAAATTGTCAAAGCCGCATCGGGATAGTAAAACTTATATGAATCTCTTCTGACTTCATTTCAGGCGAGATCTATGAACATTTAACATAAAGAATATTTTTTGTTTTTTTTTTAAATTTTCAGTTCATAAAATTAAGAAATTTTTATAAAGCTAAGTTTTTAGCTAAAATTTATGAAAAGTTCACGTAAGACGAACTCGATTCTGTTTTCATTGTTGTGCACTGTAACAACTGAAGAGATTCTTAAGCAGCTGTCCCAACTTTTAATCTACAGTGTAACTGAAGAAATATTCTAATGAAGCTGTCCCAACTATTCATCTATAGTGGAGAAAGATTCTCTAGACGCACATGCTATTACAAGTTACAAGAAATCCATATACCAAAATATACATCGACCTTTTCACTAGCGGATATGTCAGAGGATAATAAATGATTACCAGGGTGTTTTATATTTTTTGGCTGCCCAAACTATTGATATGCAATGTAATTGGAGAAAGTTTCTTTAGAAGTACATGTTGTACGCACGACAATTACATGGACATCACGATCATATTCTATTATACAACGAATATTTATTTATACAAAATAGTAGGAAGAGATATACAAAGGGAGTTATACAAAAGGAGTAATCAAAAACCATAAGATTGACAACTCCATCGCCAATAGAAAAAAAAGAAGAAAACTCAACGCTCAAAGATTGAATAACCTTACAGGAAACCTGGAGGAACACATGAGCTGCTGAAGGGTAATCATTTCACTTCCTGTACATATACTAGTATATATCTTTACAAATTAACATAAAGATATATTATACATACCAAATGTAAGCGTTATGTACTTACAAATTGACAACGATTTTCTTGTTGTAAATTCTGGTTCCTAAAAGAGGAAGTACACCGGACCACAAGCCAATACTATTCATGTGCAGCAGCAGTGCATCAACCCATAACTTAAACAAGAATAATGAAGATCATTACTATTATATTCATAATACAAGAATAAAAGAAATATGTATTTGTTTTGATGCTGTATCGTACCATATGAAACTTTAAAAGTTGATCTTGCCTCCTAAACAGCTTCGCTCGCTCTCGCCCCATATGAAATTTACTGGCCCCTTTTATATTGTATAAGATCACACTTTGTAACTAATAATACTGTTCATATGAGAATTGACACTGACATTCACCTTGGTCTTTTGAGAATAGTTGTCTCATTTGCAGTCATATCACATCTCATTATGTTCTATTCAATTGCATAATATAGAAAATGAAAAAAAAAAGATTCTGTCAAATAAGGCTGTCTTCAATTTGTCAGTTGTCTAGTCATGTTTAAACATCAGATATGTTTTAATGATTGTAGGTGTTCCAAGGAATATGTAATGATATGGTAATATTGGCTTAAGAAACAGAAAATAGGAAGATGAAATTTTATATCACGGCAGATAATTACTTTTTGAGAATATCAGAAAATGTCATAGATAAATTATGACATGTTGTGATGTCATATTGAACAATATTTAACACCTCCGTTTATTCATATATAGCAAGAAGGTGTAAATTTTTCTTAATAAAACAATGATTTAAAAGTAGCCTAGAGATTGGTTTATCCGAGTAATTATTTTATAAGTCAATATGAGCTACAAACTATGTCTGTTACAAAGACTTTGTGAAACTATCTGAATTGACAACTCATTGGTTTGTGTGTTTGTATCTGTTTGTATCTGTTTGTTTGCTCGTGTGTTCGTGTGTGTTTCTTACTTCTGGTGATCCGAGGTGAACAACTGATACTGTCCTAACGTCTTCAATTTCAGTGATTTCATTTTCTCCAGTCACAACGTAATGGCGGGAATAACTTATCAAGTTGTCTTTCAATCTCCCATATACCAGAACCACCAGCAACAGGATAAAGGCTGTTGTTGTAAGGCCGTATACAGACTGAAAAGTGAGATTATAAAAGATGTTAATCTCCTTATTCCTTTTTATTTTATTTAAGGCCGTATACAGACTGAAAAGTGTGATTATAAAAGATGTTAATCTCCTTATTCCTTTTTATTTTATTTAAGGCCGTATACAGACTGAAAAGTGTGATTATAAAAGATTTTAATCTCCTTATTCGGATTTTATTTCCTTTTTATAATATTTTGGGCTTATTCCTCAACTGTTGATATTTTTGTATTTCTAATATTTGGTAGACCCCCTAAAATCGAAAATCGAAATTTTGAACTCTGTTTTGATATTGGTATACCGCGTTTACAAATACTATTGAAAGTATGTAGCTTAACTCTTCGTCCCTATTTCTATTCGAAGGTCGAACTTATTTATGTTGACCATAATTGATTGATTGTCGGAAATCTCATCCAGCTCGTCGTCACGTGACTGATTAATTGGCAGATGTTCTATCCAGTTCGAAATCACGTGATTTATTGACTGACAAATCATATATCAAGCTCGATATTATGTGCTAGCTAGACTTAGATATCACATCTGTCAATAATTTACAAACAACAGAAACTAGTTCTATCGCATATGATAAAGGGTATCATATAATTAAAAATGCATGTATAAAGAGAGTATTACAAATATGGATAAAAAAACACCACAAATGATTTCTGAAAATTTTACCTGAAAATAACATATTTTGATGCAAAAAAAAAATGCCATTTATATGCGTGACTTATCATTGCAAATAATTTCATTATATGATAGGAATTTTCTCTTAGATAGAATTCATTTTTTTAATTTTACCGAAAAATGTCTAAATAGATTTAGTAGGGGATGTAAGTCAAATGATTTAATTAAAAAATTAATGATAAGAATACAGAAAAATTATTTATTTAGTTATGTAGCAAGATAGTTCGGTGACTAAAATTTTTATTTTTATTTTTCTGTAAAACAAAAACGATTACTAACTAACTTCTTATATTTCATATCAAAAAGTAAAATAATAAAAATACCGATCTCCAAGGAAAATTCAAAACGGAAAGGCCTTTATCAAATGGAAAAATCAAAAGCTCAAACTCATCAAACGAATGGAAAACAACTGTCATATTCCTGACTTGATACAGGCATTTTCTTATGTAGAAAATTGTGGATTAAATCTGGTTTTATAGCAAGCTAAGCCTCTCACTTGTATGACAGTCGCATAGAATTCCATTTAATTGACAACAATGTTTAAGCAAAACAAACAGACATAATAGGTAAAAATGTCAAAAACTGCGGTACAGCAGTCAACATTGTGTTATAATCTTAATCACTATAAAAAGAAATAACTATTTCATTACAAAAATAACCAAAACGCATATAGACACTCTATAGACAAAGTACATAAGCAAAAATGAAAGACAAGAATGCAATAATGACCATAGCACAATAACTCAATGACGGGATGGATAAATACCGATCCACGTCAAAAGTATATTACCAAAAATACACTGAACAGTAAAGGTTAAAAATATACAAGACGTTCTTTGACATTACCTTGGTTCATAAACTTTCTGCTCTGATATTGGTGACGTTTTATAAAGTCTGAGTAGATTTCGAACTGGATTGAATTAATCAGTCACGTGACGACGAGATTTCCGACATTCAATCAATTACGGTCATTTAGTTTTCTTCTAATGATATAACAGATTTTTTTCATATATCAATCTTTAAGAATGGGAATTTTACACAACCCCTAGCTTTGATAATAGTACGATATTCATCAGTGACATTGTGGCATAGAATAAGTGAATCCAATCGTATTTGTTTTCACTTTTGTTGCTGTTTCTACCTTATTAATAATCTTTAATCATGTATTAATCCTCTTTTGGCATTTTTACACGATGTATAAAACCACATCAAGGACTGTCTGTCAATATTTCTTACTTCTTTTCTACTTAGTGGTTATATACTAATGTTTTTATTTTTTATATTTGAAGAAACCTTTAATAATATGTCAACTGTGGATTTTTCTGAAGGCATCATTCGATTAAACACATTTGCGGATAAATGATACATACTAAGATTTGAACTTGAAAGATCAGATAAGTTTTTCTTTTTGTTTTTGTTTTTGGTACAGTAACATCTAACTTTATATGTTTAACCTTTGCAAATACAGCTGTTCCTTTAAATGTCAGCAAATAAATCACTATCCACGTGGCTAACAGACAGAGCAGAAGATACCATACCACGTGACCAGGCTCGGCAATACCATCTGATCTCTGCAAAAACTTCTCACTGAAACAAAGTGCATTTGTTTGATTAAAAAAAATAAAAGCTGAATAACAGTCACTTAGAAATTATAGGTAATCCTACGGCAAATAAATGTGTTTCTTAGTTTTACGTCATAACATCATTGTAAGCATTTGTGCGATTTTAGCAGAAATGGTTTCTCAGTTTTACGTCATAACACAATCGTTTAACATTTTGGGAGAATTTGGCTTAGATGGTTTTCACTTTGTGCACTTTTATTTTCATATAGCTTATGAACTCACTCTGCAATTTTGAAATTATTTTATTAGATATTTTCACATCTTTAATATCATTCATTTATTATCTATTCTACTAAACTAATATGCAAGATGAGGTTTGGTAAAAAATTATCATTAGCCGTCCTTTTAATGTAATATTTATCGCCATACAAGAGGCCATACTAAAATTTCTCTTTTATATTTTTAAAGTTTGATTTAGGCATTGCGAAAGGTCGTTATCAGCAAGCTAAATACTTTGAGCTTGGGTCCGTGTAACACTTATCAATTCAAAATTTTAAAAAGTTTTCAAATTTTAAATTTTTGGAATTTTGATACATGTGTATAAAAGTTTTACAATATCAAAATTCCAAATTTTTGAAAAATTTTGAAATTTTGAAATTTTCACCAAATAATTAAAATTTTAAAATTCTAAATATCCTTTTTAAATTTGATATATAAGATATTTGATCAAACTTTAAAAGTATTAAACTTAACGTGCAGTTTTGATTATTTCGCTTTTTGAAAGTTTGAATTTTTGAAATTTTGATAAAGATAAAAGAGCGAAAAGAGGGGAACCTGTAAAGTGCGAAACGGAATAAAAGCGGAACGAAACGAAACAAAACAAGATGAAATGAACTGTTACTGTTACTTAAAAGTTAATGCATAAAATAAAACCAGAGGCAGACAGTTGTAAGCGGTGAAAAATGGATAACAAAATAAATATTTCTCAAAAGCAGAGAATTCATTTTAAAACAAGAAACACGGCTCTGATTATGATCATTCTTAGTTAGGAATAAAAAGCACGAAATATATCAAATCATTTTTAATTGCAAAATAAATGATTTAAAGAAGAAGTTGGGTTTTTTTTTTAAATTGGACATCACATGAGATAACAGTATCCTGAAATTTTTAAGGTTTCGTATGTATTGAATTTTTTTTTTTTTTTTTTGAAACAAATTGATTATCGTTTTAAAAAATCTCTTACATCAGCTTATCGTTTCAGATAAATAATTCAGAACTATTTGGTTTTCCCAACGCCCATCAGTTAGGAGTGACAGTGAAAACTGACCAACTCGCAGTAGGCCAAATAGTATGGTAGGTTTGAGTATGTATATATTTTCTACTTAACTTTAAGCAATAAAATGGCTCGATACACGTGGATTCTCTCAAATTTGATTTCAAATGTTTTTGTTTTGCTTTACGACTTCTGCAATCATGTCGGCAGATGAAATCATTGAATGTACATTTTGAACGATCATCTTTAACCTTTTATCAACTATTTCGGTGGTTATAAATTGTTGGCCTTCAAATATTCGGCTTTGAGCGTTCCTGATTAAGGTAGATCAAGAAAAGCGCTTCGGACGCATGCAATTTTTAACGTTTTGTTTTTATTTGTTATCGATTACATGACGATCATATATTGCCTTGTATCATTGATTTCAGTTCTAAGTATTGGTACGGTAGGAATACTGAATTTAGGGTGTCGCAATGAACGTTGTGCTAGCCTCGAATGTGGGAGGTTGTTGATATCTTTTTTACACTGCTATCCGCTATACACGCTGAATTTAAGAGTAAGATCAAATATTAGTAGCTTGGACCCAGGATACTGTTATAAAGTATCTAAATAAAAAGTAAAATCACAAAAATACTGAACACCGAGGGAAATTCAAAACGGAAAGTCCCTAATCAAATGGCAAAATCAAATGATAAAACACATCAAACGAATGGACAACAACTGTCATATTCCTGAATTGGTACAGGCATTTTCAAATAAACTCATCATAGATACCAGGATGAAAATTTTGTATTTGCACCAGACGCGCGTTTCGTCCACAAAAGACTCACATCAGTGACGCTCGAATCAAATAAAGGTAAAAAGGCCAAATAAAGTCAAATAAATTTAAAAAGGCCAAATAAAGTAAACTTTAAAATCCAACTCATCGTTCTGGTTTTGTAAAAGCTGAATACATTCATACCATATAAACGTATACCATAAACATTATTTTCAGCCTGCATATTAATGTAATAGTTGCCGCTGTACATTAAGCGCCCATCTATCCATTTGTAGGTGTCGGGGGTGATGAAAAAAAATACTCTGTTCAAACAATGGACAAAAAAAATCTGAATCCAGATTTTTCCCATACCTTATAGTGTTAAATTTTAAACAAAATAATGTGATTGATAGCGTTGAAAAAACTAAATAAAATTGTTCGAGGATAAATTTCTGACTCCGACAAAAAAAAACATACCCCCCTTTTTTAAGTTAAATGGTTGCTTCCTTAGACAACGTTTGGACTGATGCTTGTAAAAAGTATATGCATTATCATATTGTAGCTCCATTAGGGGACCTAAATCCGCCACTGTTTTTAAATAGCGAATAAAAGGAAACGGGATTTTGTTGTATTAAGGGATAGTTCCGTATTTGTTATTTGCGCATTTTTAAGTTATCGCACGACAATCAATTTTGAGCAAAGTACAAGTACGCAGCGAAGTCTAGTCAGAATGAGGCGTGTAGAAAGAGTGCCAAGCTCTCTTCATGTTAAGAACCCCTGCAGTAACTCGTTGGTTTGTTGCAAGGCAACATTTCTGTCCCTATCCAATATACCCTCATTTTCCAGTGGCATCTAAATTTGCCAATCTTCATCCTGAACGGACTCTTACAGGACCTCTTATTGTACTTATTGTTAATTTGTTATCGTCCTGAACATGCATGAAATATTTGCCACTGGCAATTACCAATCAATCATTTAAAATAGGTCGTTTATATACAAATTACAAAGAAACTTAGGTTTCAACTCCCTCGGGCAAAGTAGCCCTTAGACGGATTTTGATATTTTTAACTTTCCTTTTGGCCATACACCTCTTCAATTGTTTCGGTTCTTATATTTGCTTGACTTTCAAATATTAAGTTTTCAGCGTTCCGTAGGTAAATGCTTTACTTAAAATTCAGCGTTTTACATTGTCCTGGTTTTTCGAGAACAACATTGATAAAATTGAGAATGGAAATGGAGAATGTATCAAAGAGACAACAACCCGACCATAGAGCAGACAACAGCCGAAGGCCACCAATGGGTCTTCAATGCAGCGAGAAACTCCCGCACCCGGAGGCGTCCTTCAGCTGGCCCCTAAACAAATATATATACTAGTTCAGTGATAATGGACGCCATACTAAACTCCAAATTATACACAAGAAACTAAAATCAAAAATGATACAAGACTAACAAAGGCCAGAGACTCCTGACTTAGGACAGGCGCAAAAATGCGGCGGGGTTAAACATGTTTTTGAGATCTCAACCCTCCCACTATACCTCTAGCCAATGTTGAAAAAACAAACGTACAACAGTACGCACAGTAAAACTCATTTTAAGAGAAGTCCGAGTCCGATGTCAGAATAGGAAACAAAAGAAAATAAACAAAATGACAATAATACATAAATAACAACAGACTACTAGCAGTTACTGACATGCCAGCTTCAGACCTCCATTAAACTGATTGAAAGATTATGTCTTCATCATATGAATATCAGGCACAATCCCTCCTGTTAGGGGTTTAGAATTATACCATCATAAAATATATGAGAAGAACATAACCCGTGTCATGCCAACAACTGGTTTTAGAATAAATATGTTTAATTCCGATGCAAAGACCCTATAAGTGAATCAATATTAAAGCCAAAATATGCAATCTTTAATGACCTGACAACAGTATCGTAACTATATCCCTTCTTAATAAGTCTGTTTAAAGGTTTTGTTAGCTTTTGAGGTGAATACTGACATTTTCGTGCTTTGTAAAGAATATTACCATAAAAGATTGGATGTGAAATACCCGAACGTATAAGATGTCTGCATGTTGAGTTGTATTTACGAATGATGTCCTAGTGTAATAATTTTTCAGTAATACATAAATTTCTCTCGCTAAAATCTAATACGTTGTTACATACACGAGCGAATCGTACAAGTTGAGATATATAAACACCATAAGATGGTGACAAGGGAACGTCACCATCTAAAAATGGATAATTAACGATAGGAAATGAAAAATCATCTCTTTTATCATAAATTTTTGTATTAAGCTTCCCGTTAATGATATAGATATCAAGATCGAGGAAAGGACAGTGGTCATTGTTAGTATTAGCTTTATTTAAAGTTAGTTCAACAGGATAAATTTCTTTAGTATACATACTGAAGTCGTCATTATTGAGAGCCAATATATCATCCAAATATCTAAAAGTATTGTTAAATTTTTGTATCAGATGTTGTTTCGATGGGTCTTTGCTGATTTTAGTCATAAATTGTAACTCATAACAATACAAAAACAGGTCCGCAATAAGTGGTGCACAGTTAGTCCCCATTGGAATTCCGATAACTTGACGATATACGGAATCTCCAAAGCGAACAAAAATGTTATCAAGTAAAAATTCAAGGGCAGATATAGTATCAAAGCATGTCCAATTGACATAGCTCTTTTGTTTGTTGCTACTAAAAAATGACCTAAAAGAGTTTGAACATATGTATTCGCATTCCGACTTTTTAAATGCCCATTTAATTAGGTGTGTGAATTTTTTCTTAATAAGAATATGAGGCAAAGTGGTATATAGGGTAGAAAAATCAAAACTTTATACAGATTCAAAATCACCAATATATGCATGCAATTTATCAAGTACTTCCAACGAGTTTTTGACACTCCAAAAGTAGTTAATTCCACTATTTTCAAAGGCCTTATTTGAACAATTTATTATCAGGTTTTTGATTGTACCAAGTGTACTAG